GACAACATAAAACAGTTTTACATAATTGCCCCCTCAAAAGTCGGTTGAGACAATGAACTTGTGTATAAGGAGCAAGTCCTAGCTAGTCCCAGTTTTGGTGTATGTTGCACAAAGTTTCGTGCGTATAAGGAATTGCATAGGTGTAGACCTTGCCCTCATTGCCGCAACAGTCTGAACAACTAACAGTGACCTGGTGGGGAATATCCGGCTGGTAGTAGTAGTGCTGCCGTTGGAAACATTCTAGCTTCTATACATGTACAAAATCATCGACATTTGCTGTAATCGATTTTTATCGCATTCATCGAGACATGACTTAAAAAATGATTTGAAACAGAGGCTGGCTGAAGGCTGGTCTCTAATTCTTATTGTTGTTGTTGTTGAAATATATGCCATCATGCAGACAGAGAGATCGACATGGCTTAATCGACTTTGCTGTTAACGATGCTCAATATATATATCTATCAATTTATTTATAAAGGGTATAATGATACCAGTCATAGATTTCATATATACCCGACGGTCCATTTTTACGGGGTATATCAGTAACAACAAGTATGACATAGGTATTTTGAAGACAAATGAAACAATTAATTTGATACCATGTTTCAGCCAAATCCTATTAGCTGCATCGGTGTGTCGCAGCCACTTTCATGCATACTTAATTGTCAGGTTTGGTGCAAGTTAACACACACATTTTGGGAACCGTTGGCCAACTGTTGCTAAACTCTCTGAGGGCAAGTGGTCTTTGCCTGACTTTCGTTGTTAAATGTCCGTGAGGATGTTGGGCTGGGCTGCTACTTAAAAAATTAATGGCCTGTGGCATGTGTTGCTCTGAGGTGTTTTCATTTAAATTTTAAGACAAGCGCCACTTACAGTTGAGTTATGCGTTAAAATTCCAACTTCTTGATATCCATGTATGCACACCAAAAGTCAGGACAGCTATGTCTACCGAACACCTAGACCCAGATTCAGACCCGAAACCGGGGCCCGGACCCACCCCAGAACCCAACCGGCAACAGCCGCTAGACTCCGGAATGGAAAGTTTTCAAAACGCTATATCTGTGCATGTGTATGTGTTGGTAAGGTAATTAGAAAATTTTATGCGATTACTACTTGCTTGTTTAACATTTTGTACAACATCCTTTCATCCTTGAACACATACATACTCGCCATGCAGAAAAAAGGAACAACATGCAACTGCGCCAATGATGCGAAGTAAAGTACAAAAGCGGCTTTTAGAATATTAATGGAATACTAAATACATATAACGTGTAAAGTGGCAGACTCACAAACGCATTTTAATTTATACGAGGGGAGCTAAAATACTATAGGCAAGCGAAAACTGAATATTTTATTCATGACCTGCTTGTTCCTTAACGCTTATCATAGGCAATCTCGTCCGATAATTAATTCTTATAAAAATCAATCAAACAGTATAAATGTATGGTTTATGTGTACTCTGCCAAGCTGATGCAATCAAAATTGTCTAAGTATTAAGCCCAGTACAGAAAGTTACAGCATCAATTTGGAGTAAAACCAGCACTATCGTACCTTTGTTTGTTCCCTTTTCCACTATATTACGTGTAGATCAATTACACGTTTTTTAGTGTGACAAAATTTGTTTAATAAATGAACGTAAAAAATACAGCTTTATCGATCTAAAATATAATCATATTACATAAACTGTCAAATGGGAAGCCATTTTTAAATATCCATGTAAAGGATATTTAGTAGTAGATTTCAATGTTTTCGTTTTTTTTTTTTTTTGGAAGTTATTTCAATAGTAATTCAAATGATGCCAATTTCAAGCTTTAGCTTTTTCAAATAACGTATGATATGAAAATTGTTATACTCTATGTAGAAGTGAGATGAAGCTTATGGGCATGCAATTTTTTCGACTTAGCGAAAATCAGAGACTTTCAACAAAATAAGTGTACGTATCTACTTAAGATACAATATGGGTAATTTCACTTTATAGAAAAGGAAAAAATTGGTTGCCATATCCGACGCATTTTTAAATAAAAATTTTTCGAACATCTTAAATTAAAAGACTTTCAACTAAATATATACACATACATAATTGAGTAAGAGACTTTGGTGCACGATCGTCGCGCCTTCCAAAACACAAATCTCCATATTTCTGAACGAGACAGTTTATAAACCATTGCTCTGCGGTTAAAGTCTTAAAGCCAGCAATAATTAGAATAACTCTTTACTATCAAGCTGATATTGCAGGGCACACAGAGCATTGCGCAGTCAGTTGCCCCGGCTGCATTTACATATACACAATTTTATAGAGCTTTTTTGAACAGGTGCCAGACTTTGACTCAGTTTGTTACATCGGTAGAAAATTAGCTCAAAAAGTAACTCAATTTACGCTCAAAGCCCCTAAAAGGAATTTGCGGGCCGAACAAGCGTCGTGCGAGTTGTGTTTGCCTTCGGCTGCTCGTCGACAACTCCCACAAATGATTTTTGAGCCTGGAGGGTCCTCGGTGCCGCTTTCGCTTAGACGCACCCACAAAGCACTTCAAATGCCATTGAATTCAATTGAAGTGGTGCTAGAAGAAGGCGTTAACCAACTAAACGCTCGGCTTGAGTCGTCGTAGTCGTTGCCTCGCATGCAGCTCTTTGAGTGCTTTCCTGTAAAAAGTGCGCAAAATCCTTGTCGTCGAATAAAAAAATTGTTCGTTCAGCCAATTGCAGGAGCCAGTAGCAAGGTTATTATTATTTTTTTTTTTCGTTTTGTTTTTTTTTGTTTTCTAAATTATATATATATATATATATATATATATATATATATATATTTTTTTTTTTATTTGTTTGTGTTATTTATATATTTTTAAATACAAATGTATATTGCTGATATGGTTTCCATATTTATATATATATATATTCATTATTTATATATATATGTATATAAACTTACCGTGCAAAAAAAAGACATCTACTTTACTAACAAAGAATATTACAAATATACTCCTAAATTCCCATTTAAAAGCATTTTGGTTTAAAATGATTTATGTACTCTAATAGGCATACATAAATATGCATACATATAAATAACGACAATATTTCAACATATTTCAACATCATCATATTAATTTTTCTACATAAATAGCTTTTATAGTTCATTGGATGATATTTCATTGTCTTCGTATTGTGATTAATATTCGATTTTTCATATTTATTGTTGGCATATAACAATTGCTACAATTGCTACAATCGATTTTGTTTCTTTATTATTTTTTTATATTCAGCTTTCCGATCTTTCTGCTATTTTCTATATACATATGCTTTTATTCTAGTTCTTTTTATTTATTAAGTGTTGATGCACGAGCCATATGCACGTGTACATTCACATGAATATATCGCTCAAACTTATGGACGACCCCGATATCTGGAATACTATTTGTGATTACTCAAGCTTAATGTTTAAATATCTATTATTATCAGAAAAATGATAGATTTGGAAGTTACTTTTATGCTATGGAAATAAGCTGAGTAAAGCTGGAAAGTTTGGGATATAGAAAATTTAGAAAATAAAATCTAATTCTGGTCCTTTTTGTTAAAAAGAGGCACCATTTCAGTTATTATTGGGCTCATGATGGGTTATTTTTATGTGCCTATAAGTTAGACCTCACATTTTTTAATTACGATTACTCTTACATGTATTATTTGTTTGTAGACTTCGTATGTTAATATATTTTTAACGCATATACACAAAGTGCAAGTGCAAGAAGCTCTCGATTTTGTTCTCGTGTTCAGTATCCATTAATATATGCATTCATATGTGGTAGAGGGGGTTTCATTAGGTTCACCCCAAATTGGAATCTTAGCGTTTTAGTTGATTTAAATTTAGACACAGATACTACAATTAGCACAATTCTGATCATTTTCTATATTTTTAACAGAAACAAGAGTGCATAGGTTTTATTTTTGGTATAAGTACGTACTTTTCTTCAGTGTAATTGCTATCGCAATTAACGGCCTCTACTTCAGTTTGCACATATAATTATTTGTGTAATAAGTTAAGTATGTTTTTTGTAGTATACCTGTATATGTATATATTGTTCTAAATATATATTGTATTGTATGCTCTTAACTCAAACAAGTAAGAGGTTCTAGTCGGGAACTCCCGACTAGGGGATACCCTGAACCCTCTTCTTCCAACTTCAAATGTATATATATTTTCTAGTTTAGAAGCTATATGTCAAGTTATCTTATTATTTACCAAAATTGCCCAAAAACAGGATATCGATATCGATTTTTATCAATTGCTTGGAAACGGAGTTAGTTATCGATTATCGGAAACAAACTCGATCTGCGCAGGCACTAGGAGCACCTGCATCTAAAATTTCAAGACTCTAGCTCTTATACGTTCTTATAGGTTCTGAGATGCTTGCCATGGACATGGCTAGATCGACTCGGCAATTGATGCTGATCAAGAATAAATATACTTTATGAGGTCGGAGATACTTCCTTCTGCCTGTTACATACATTTTTAATGGGTTCCGGGTATAAAAATGACTATAGGCCTCTCATATGTATTTCATTAAGTAAATTATTTACTGCCAATAATAATTTGCATTTTTATAATTTGCCTGCCCAGCTTGGAAGTTATTATACGATTGCCAAACAGGCATCTCCATGCATGTGATTATGTGTACATTTATATAGATATATATGTATTTATAACTTATTTGTATATACAATGTATGCCAGTATGTATATGTTGTACATCATACAACTCATATGAATACCAATTACATATGATGCGCTATGCTCTATAATGCGAAATATTCTATAATTATGTTCGCAAATCTATATATGCTCATGGCTATATAAAAGCATATTCCTTATACACGTACACTCAAAAAAAAAAATTGTTTGCTACATATTAGAAAATTTCCATAAAATGATCAATTTTCTTAGCTTCAAAAAAATATTTGCGCAAAAATAATAATAAAAAATAATACAATTTTGTTAAAACAACAAAATGTTATGTAATTTTGAATGTTTTTCATTTTATGACACTTGTCTTAAATTTTTGAGAAAAACATATCTATTCAATTTCCACTGACTTTTCCCATTTTTTATGAATGCACTTCCACCTAAGCTAATCATCTGCAGACCGTTGAATCGTCACCGGCACATATCGAATGGGGCGCTGCCAGAAACAGCTTCCCGTTAAAGCAGGCACACAGCTGGAAGACTCGATGCATGTGATCTCGACTCTGGGCAGAGTCAAGTATGGGTGGCTGTGCAGTGCGCAAATTCGGCATAACTATTTTCGAGGACTCCAACCGTACCTGTTTTATTGGTGACGTTATAGGAACAGCAGAAAATGAAGATTGATTGTCTAGCAGTAGCTAGTGTGGTCTAGATATATTCATACTTACGCTGCCATCGAGTGCACGCAACTTGACGTCGTCCAAAGCTAACAGTTCAATGCCGCCGGCTCGTGATTGTAAATTAATATCTTTTGCGGCAGTTATCTCTAATTGACGTGTAGGCGACTCTAGTCTGAAAATAACTCAAAAAGTTAAAACACTAGTCGATTGGCATTACATGAATCCCTAATCAAGTGGGATTGTTTGACCAACCTACTTTTTGCATCCTTATGTTTAAAGTGTTTGCCCTGACAACTGATTGGGGATCCTTTTTGGTCTATGATTAATACTAGTATGGACTTTTTCAAAATTAGAACCCCAAGTTGAGGAAAACACCAACAGCAACGCAGCAATATAAGTGTAATAAGGTAACGTCATTAAGTATAGCTTTCTAAGCGTCTGACTAAAAAACGGTAAATTGCCGGTTCAAATTCACCAGCAATTGAGTATGTCCATGATCGTCTCTGCCGTCTTTTTTTTATTAGTTACTAAATATACAATAGCTTACAAAGAATATATGATTTATCTAGCTTCTATAATACTTATGAATATGATAGGTAAATAGCTAGGTATATTGCTTTGGGCAAAAAACAGGAATTATCGATCATTTTATTTGACGATATATAGACAAGAACTAACATCCCAAGTAAGGTATCTTAAGTGCGGTGCGTTCGCTCCGAAGGATGGATTCAGCAGCTGTTACTGATCCGGAATATATACTTTGGGGAGCCTAAGAGATCTCTTCTGCCTATTACATGCATATGCGCAAAAACGAACTTATGTTTAACTTATGACAAATAAGCAGACTAACATATACACACATATTTATGCATATAAATGTATATACTTATGATTGACACATTTTACCTGATATACTGTTTATTTTCAATGAAAACGTATTCTATCTACTAATCACAAGCCGTCAGCTGTCAAACTGTATTTTTCTTTTGGTTGCCAACACCAAATGGCTATAAATTAAAATTTGGTGTGCATTTCGGGACGCCATTTATAAACAAAATTATGCGGCTTTAATTCAACTATTTTGAAACTACTGCTTATGTATCAAATGCTGTTCGCACAAGGGACAATTTTGTAAATTTTCATGAAAAAGCATTCCGGTCATCAGCAAATTTGTCAATGTAAACGTTATTGCAAGCATAGCTGTGCCGTTAATGGTCCGTACAGACACACAGTTCCCAGTAAACCCATACTCGAGCCGGAAAACATACGCCTGGTCATTGAATAACGCGAGTTATCACCGCAATATTTCAATACTGACGCAACGATTCCCTAGCAATAAAAAAAAAGAATCAATGTCAATGTCGTCGCATCTGATGTCGAATTCAATTGCGATCCCCACAACATCGCTCAGAGTATCTATGAGTTTGTTTGTGTGCATGTATGGGTGTATGGATGTGTGCATGCATGTGTGGTGTGTGTACGGCCGTGTGTAAATATTTTCGCTTTTCAACAAGCTACATGCCAACACCTCATGAGTGAGTGTCTGCGTTTTGTGTTGGGACTGCTGTTGTTGTTACCGCCGCAAAGGTGATGGTGACGTTGACACACACAGGTGAGCGGTAACAGCGCGGGCAATGGGGGCGCGCTAGGTGTTTGTTTTTAATTTTTTATTTTTGAGATTTTTCCGAGTCCGATTAATGTGTTTGTTGTGTGCCGACATATATACATCAGTATGTAAGATATGTGGGATATGGATTCTACGAAATTTATTACTGTTGTTGAATTTCGACACTGTGAACAATTTTTGTGTGGCATTCCATAAGCTTATTTATTTTTTTTGACTCTTTCTAGATGAAATGTGTAACGCATTTAGTATTTTTATAAAGTATTTAACTCAGAGTTGGTTCGGTTGGCTATTGCCGAGACAATGCCTCAGTTTGTATACCCTGAATCCATTAAAAATGGGTAAAACGGGGTAAAAGGGGTAAAAACAGGCAGAATGAAGCATATCCGACCCCATTAAGTATATTTTCGATAAGCATCAATAGCCGAGTCGATCTACTCATGTCCGTCTGTATGTATGAACTAGAGAAATTTTGTATGTACCAGAGAAATTTTAGATGTAGGTGCCTGCGCAGATCGAGTTTGTTCCCGATAATCGATTATTTACTCCGTTTCCAAGCAATCGATAAAAATCGATATCGACATCCTGTTTATTAAGCAAATTGGGTAAGTATAAAGAGCTAGAGTCACCAAACTTGATATGGAATAGTATATGTATACCCAGTATCTTTCATTTCATACCTATTGCCACCTCCCCGCTACCACCCCACAGCTATAAATCAAGTTTATAACCCAACTTGTATTGCCAACTAATTTAAGCCCCAATTAACTTTTTGAGAATACACAAATATTCTATGGTACAATAAGGTATGCTGTAGAAAATTTCATTAAGATCGGTTCGTACTTAATGATGTACTTAATGTACTTCGGTATATATATTTGTATACATGTATACACGCACATTCATGCGCATCTGCTTCGAATTCTATCAACCACATTGTAATTGCGATTGTATTGTTTTCTGTGCTGCTATTTAAATTTGTTTTCTTTTCACTGATAAATGTTTGTTGGTGTGGCTATTGAGTAGGGGCGGTGGCATGTGGTGTGGTCTTTCCCGAATTTGAGCCCCGCCGGGGGAACTATTTGTTTTTTTTTTTTTTTTGGCTGCTCTGGCTGTTGAGTGAAGACGGCGTTTGGCAGCGAGTTCGAACCCTGCCAAGGGAACACTTTTTATTTCATTTATATTAATTACTACAAGCGAGCGCGAGCTGGATTTGGTGTTGAAATAAGAGGGTTCAGGGCATCCCCTGGTCGGGAGCTCTCGACTAGAACCTCTTACTTTTTTTTTTTTTAAGTTTTAGCTAAGCTTATAAATTTTAAGATTTACTCTGATCCTAACATGTGGGCGAACTTTATGCAACATGGGACTGTTTTAAATCAAGTTTGGCTAAATGGAATACGATTTTTCGGCTAAGTTTTGCTTATGTTCAAAAAGCTTGCTGTCTGACGTATAGCAAGAAACGTATGAAGTTTTAGGGACCACCTGTAAACTAGAAGTTTTTGTGTTGTTTTACATTCTTGTTAATAGACAGCATTCGATTGATTAAGCTACTCCAACTAAATTACTTTGAGCGTTGATCACCAATCAGTCAGTCAGTCAGCTGGGGAACACAATTTTGAATAAATTGATTATCATTGTTAGTGTTATGTTTAATGAAATAACATTTACTAACTCAAAGTTCTATTATGTCTGGTAAAACTATAACTGATCTGAGCCCCGATTATGTATATTGTAGGGATTGCTGCTCCCAACACTTACCTGAGCTCTCTGCCCGGCTCAGCACGCACGTGCGGCGTTTGTATGGACTCCCGAAAGATGGCGCCACCCTCGCCCTCGATGCGCAACGTATGCGCCCCAATTGTGACTTCATTTCGATTTACGGAAAATAAATTTCGTCCGGTGGTGTCGTTGATGCGAAATCCCGCTGACAGACATTCAAACTTATCGTGCCCTAAGAATAAATGATTCTCGAGCACACCGTTTGAGTCACGTGTATTGATTGAAAAATTACGTGAGGATTCTGTTGATGGCAACCAAGATGTTGGAAAGAAAAAATTGAATACAGAAAACTTGAATTATATGTTTTTTTTTGGCGTTATTTTAATTACTGATCACCATAGGATTTTATCGCAGTTTAAAGAAAACATATAAGAACTGACAGCATATGTAATTTTTTTTTTTTTTTTTAATTTGATTTAAGACAAAACATCTTCTAAAATAATATAGTTTAGTTCGTTTTTGGGTTCATTTGTTTGGTCAGCCAATCTGGTTAAACTTCGAATAAGGGTAAGAAAAATTTAAATTTCAGGCAAGCCGGAAAATATAATGTTTAAATCAGATTTTACAGGAAATTCTTTGCGTGAGTCTGTCTGCCATTGAATAAAGTTTTTGCTGTATGACTGTGTCTCTTCATTCATTTGTTTTCTTTGGCTCAGCTACGGATCTCACACATGGAGATTATCTGTAATTGTACAATGCGTGATTCCTCCAGGACGCGGTTCCGATCTGATTTGATTAGATACCACCTTCACTTGTCCCTTTAAATTCACAGTGTTTGCATACACATAAGTGTGTGTATGTGCATAATACATATACATTTACACACTGTAAAGGTATGTATGAACGTTTCATGTCTTCAGCTTTGGCTTGCTTTTGCCAGGTTCCTATCTGTGAATCTGCTGATTTATGGCTCGAGTGACAACGGCGCACATTTGTCGTAGGCAGGCTTAACTTTCGGCCAGTCACCTTTAAGTAGGGGCTTAGAGGAATACAAATCGGACTGCTTCATTCGTATTTAGAGTGTGAAAGTGTTTTTAGGCTAATAATGATGCAGTCGTTATAAACGCATCGGCAAAGGGTTTCCTGTACCATACAGAAGTAAGGAATATTTTAAATTTTTTATTACTACGACACTTTTCAAAGTAAAAAAATTGATTTAAATCTGTCAGTATGTTATTTATGTGGACAAATATAATAAATACTCTAAAACACTTAAAACTCTTAAAAGTCCGTAAGTTACAGATATGTAATTGGAATGTAAATCCGTCAGTTAGGGGATTTTGAAGTCTCCCTATGATACCCTTATAAAACAAGTTTCAGAAAAATATGTGGGTTTCTTTTGATTAAAAATATTTTCTCAAGAAAAAAATAAATAAAAAATAATTTGTAATCAATTGTAAGCTTAAGATTTTTAAATATTATGCTCGACATCGGAAATTCTGTAGACTCGTTTAATTTGAATATAAAGAAAACAAACAGAGAAAAAGAAAAAATAAAACTGAATATTTTTATATTTTTTCGGTCTTAAAACATTTTGAATATTTAAGTTGTCAAACGGATTACTTACCAATGGATATTGGCTGTCCGTGCCTAGAGCGTATAGTGGATGCCCGCAGCATGTCCATAATTACCGCTTGGCCTGAGAGCTGGATGCCCCCGGGAACAATTTTAAGTTGACCCATGCCATTCTAAAAAGGTGTTATTGTATGGGCCAATATGCAGACGATATGGGGAATGTCTGTACTTACTGTTGAAAACTCCATCACCTTGAGTATCCATAGGGTCAGCACCAGGTTTGTGATAATTAGAAGCATTAGAAGTAGGAGTAAGGTATATAGACACTTTTTACGCCAGCCGATTAGGCCAAGATATGTCTCGATTCCATTGACAAAACCACCCACATTTTCTTGCTTGTTGGCAACGACAGATAAACCTTTTCCCCCGGCCATAACACTGCGACTCCCTCCTCTGTCAACACCGGTCTTGGCCATCATTATGGTTGCCGTCTTAGCGGATGCGCCGCCACTACCACATGCCATTTGGCTGGTTTTACCTTTTAGTATTTGTTTGGGCGTTGCTCCAGCCTGCTGTTGTCCCTTTAACGCTGGTGCAGCTGTAGTTGCTCTACAAACTCCTATTTCTGCGCTGCCACCGGCTAACATCGCAATCAATTGATTTTCCTTGCCCGGTTGCAATGCTTTTTTTTTTTGTTTTATTACTTTACCGATTCGCGTTGTTTCTGTGTGCGCTTTGCGCCGTCCATATTAATTACGTAGCCGACGGATTAGCTTAAGCTTATCAAATTTTGGTTTCAATTTTATTTTTTCCTTTAAAATTGGTTTATTTTTATGAATGTATTCCAACTGTAAATGAAAACCTGAAAAGGACACAATTTTGTTAAATAAAATATTTCAGAAAATGTTAAGAAACATGGCCAAAAAAAGTTAAATAGAAGCGTTTCAACAATACTCGGCTGCGAAATAGGCAGTTCTCACGTTCATGTATTCGTTTAGTAGAAATGTATCAAAACTGATGATTTATATTTGAATAATATTATCGTTCAAATATGTGGCTATTTTAGGATCTTACATTTTTCCATCAGAAGTAAAACCCACTAAACAATGAACATCAATGAACATTGTTATGTGCTTTTAAAAATACCGTACATTTTTAACTACGTTTTTTTTTTATACCCTGAACCCATTAAAAATGGGTATAAGTGTATGTTGTATTTGTGCAAAATCCAAATGTATGTAACAGGCAGAAGGAAGCATCTCCGACCCCATAAAGTATATATATTCTTGATCAGCATCAATAGCCGAGTCGATCTTGCTATGTCCGCGTGTCTGTCTGTCCGTCTGTCCGTATGTATGAACGCAAGGATCTCAGAACCTATAAGAGCTAAAGACTTGATTTTTGAATTTTAGATGTAGGTGCTCCTAGTGCCTGCGCAGATCGAGTTTGTTTCCGATAATCGATAACTTACTCCGTTTCCAAGCAATCGATTAAAAACGATATCGATATCCTGTTTTTTTGGTTAATTTTGGTAAATAATAAGAGCTAGAGTACCCAAACTTGACATATAGCTTCTGAAATAGAATATATATATGCATTTGATGTTGGCAGAAATGGGTTCAGGGTATCCCCTAGTCGGGAGCTCCCGACTAGAACCTCTTACTTGTTATCAACTGTCTTCTGTAGCTAGATATAGACATGGAGATGTAATACAGACACCGATTATAATAGGTATTGTTAATAATTGTGTCGAAAATGTCTTCTGTAACAAGTGTCTGAGGAAATTTAAATGATCTCTACAATGGTATAAAATATTGATATTAAAATGCACACACATAATGTACATTCAATTTATATGTTAGTATGCATTCCCAACTGTAATGTATGCCACTGACTGACGGATGAACTGCGATTAAATTACAGTTTTCGTTCCTTTGATGCTCCTCTTGTTGCCCAGTCCCTTCTGTAGGTGGCCTATGTGGAACATGAACTGGTAGGGATGGCGACTTCAGACGTGAAATTGTTAAATTATGCACAACTGCATATAAAAATATGGATTTGTGTATTCATATATACGCAGGAATATTTTTGTGTGAGACAGTGAGATACTTAGATAAGGAGAGAGAGAGAGAGAGAGAGAGAAATGCCTGTGCATGCACATAATCTGGTGCATGAGCACTGTCATCACCAGGGGATACCCTGAACCCTCTTCTTCCAACATCGAATGCATATATATATTTTATTTTAGAAACGGAGTAAGTTATCGATTATCGGAAAAAACTCAATCTGCGCGGGAACTAGGAGCATCTTCTTCTAAAATTTCAAGTCTCTAGCTCTTATAGGTTCTGAGATCGTTGCGTTCATACATACGGACGGAATGAATGAAAATGAAATGACGGACGGACGGACGGACATACATTTGGATTTTGCACAAATACAATATACCCTTGTACCCATTTTTAATGGGTTCAGGGTATAAAAAATATCGTTCATACGGACAGAAGACACACGGGCGGATAAAGAAGAAGACATTGTAAAATGCTGATATACTCTATTGCACTTTTCGATCAGAATATGAAAACTGTTTTAAATGAACAAAATATGGGTGCACACATTTTCGCGATACTCACAAATATATAAATTGAGCAACACGAAGTAAAACCCGTTATCCCTTAAAGAGAATGGTAATTTTATTTATTGTTTGTGTCACCGTTTTAGTTATAATAGTCTAGAGACTTGAATAGGTAAGTTAGTTGTTAAACGCCAAGTCCAGTCAATTAAAAATAAACCAGAAGTGAAAATAATCTAAATTTAGAAAATTTGTATATGTAGCTCTCATGTGGCTTTTCATGGCCACTGCGAGAACAGTGTGAGCAATGAAACACACATTTTTCGTCCGCTTAATAAAAATTTAGAATTAAATGTGCTGCTTTTCGTTTTTCATTTTGAAACTTATTTTCAGATATTTCGCAAGAACATTGCGTTGTTTTGTGATTTATGGTTTAACTTTGAATGTGTGCTAGCATTTTGAAACACATACTTATATTTTTCTTAATAAATGCTCCTAATATGGCATATCTTTATTTAACTTTTATACCTAAAGTCACTTTATTACCCTGCATTACGATTATTTTTATAAAATTATGCTTATTTTATCTCCATACTGTATATATGCTTGAAGCCTTTCCTGTCCATTTGCTGATTGGGATGGAAAATGATTCAACCAGTGAATTAATTCGTAATTTATTAGTATGCATTGGAAGTATTGCAGTTGGATCCTTCTGTTTTTGTTAATTTAATGCTAATTGGCAATTAAGAAACAGCTTATAGATTTTTGAAGTGAATTAAAAGTAAATTAAATACAACATTTTGTAAACAATTCAATTAAAAAAAAAATGGTTCTGGCCGATTGTCTTTGAAGATTTCTGTAGATAGTTTAGACCCCTTTATATACAACTTCTAAATATAAGTAGCATAAATCTTTATATATATATATATATATATATATATAAAATATAAACATATAAATATATATATATATATATATAAAGATTTATGCTACTTATATTTAGAAGTTGTATATAAAGGGGTCTAAACTATCTACAGAAATCTTCAAAGACAATCGGCCAGAACCATTTTTTTTTTAATTGAATTGTTTACAAATGTAAATGTAAATATAAACATATATATATATATATATATATGTTTAATTTGTTGAGAAATTGTTTGAATACGTTGAAAATGTTTAATTGCGGCTTAAATACTTAACTACATATGAGCTAAAAGGAAATGGTCAAAATAATAAACAAATCAATTAAATTTCCAACAAAGAATTTCACAAATGATTTTTGGGGCTTAAGCACTGCCGATGTCAGTATCTGCGGTCATTGGGGCGATGAACACTGACAACATAAAAGAGTAATTTAAATGAATTCAAATTATTTTCTTCAATTGTACACATTTTTTCTATTGCCTAAAGCGGACTTGAATTGTTTAAATTGGGTTTTTTTATTTTTATAACAGACAATTTTATTGTCCTGTTAAGGTCAAAGGGCCGTATGGTCGTCTTCTGCTCAAATGGACGCCCCACTTGTGGCTAGAATCGTGAAAGTCGGAATCTGCAATAGGCGTTAGACAACTCATCCACTTACTTTTGCGCTTTTAACTTATTGAAAGTGGGTATAAAGGCCACAAAAGTCTTATAATAGTTTTCTGGTCGAGTTCAATTAAATAATATAATTTTATTAAATATCCGCTAAGATTTGTATTCATGTGTTTTAAGTTGTCGTGTTATTTGCTCAGTTAGACCGACGAGAAAGTTGCGTTGTTTTGTTTTTATATTATTAATATATATTATTCAATTTACTGGTGGGGATCATATAGTAAATTGCAGTAGTCGATGGCGAAACTAATAGGGAGTTTAATTTGCAAGTAAAGAGTTAGGAACTGCATGCAACTGCGCAGACTTTGTATATGCGCCAGGATAATATTGGGCGGTGCAAGGGGTTTGTATATAAACTTTGACATTATACATGCATACATACCCATAATCTCAAGAAAGAACTGGGACAAGCAGTCAGACCGGCGTAATGGCGGTCGGGGAACGTGCTCTGTGAGCGGTAGCTAGAGCCCAAATGCAAATACCCAGCGAGTTGATTTAGTATCTGTAGACAGCCGGTTATTACACGCACTCGAATGGCGAGCAAAAGGTTTACTGGGCGGAAATAAGGACAGCAACTATTAGTTGCAGTGGTAGTGGAGAGTGGAAAGTGGCAAGTGGAAGCGACGGCTGCTAGCACGTACGTCCAGTTTTAGTTAAGTTACAGATATAGTTGCCGCTTAGTTAATGTTGCATGTTCGCATCGTTGTTGTTGTTACACGTTTTTATTGCCGCAAATGCAACATATGCTCCAAAGTATTCGGCTGCAGAAGACATCGCTCGCAGGGGCTATTTACTTCAGCTAGTCCCAGAATATCGCCTAATAAAGTACATACACTTTTGTACACTACATGGCTCCCATACCAAGGCCCGGCGAGTCGGATCTGATATCCACACCATATAAAAGCCCTTCCAAAGATAAATTATTTATGTAGGCAGTTGAATAACCTTAATCACATTATATTTTCTACATTTTTGAAAATATAGATGAAGTTTAAAAAAAAACTATTTTAAAAAAATTGCTTATTGGTTTCTAGTCAACTGAGCTAAGTGGGCTAAGATCTAATAAATGTTTATAAAGATATACTGTTATTTCTCAATCTTTAATTTATTTGTTGTTATTTTTGAAATAATGAGTTTTTTCACATGGAAATATCGGAAAGATTTTCAACAGTTTCATAAAGCAGGGTATAAGTGTTAGTGGTCCAATATAAATTTTTTTAGAAGTATAAACTTATATCTAAATATATGTTAGTGATATAATATGTATATATTTGGACTAGTGTAAGTAAGCACACTCGTTTAACACATTTTCTTAGCATATGCATGTAGGCATGTTGACTCTTTGGTGTTGTAGGGTGGTCGTATATGCGAGTATGTTTAGCAATGAGTTCAAACTTTCGGAAAGGGAAACTTATATAAAGTTGTTCAAAAGTCCTTGACAGTGGGTAATTTTAAGCGAAGTGGGCTTATTTCAGGCAATAACTAGACGGGGAGCATGTTTGAAGGGCCTCATGGCAGTCGGCAACCCACAAGCAGGCATACAGACACTTGGCCATTTATTGTTAAAAGGAAAGCATTGCATTGCTATTAAGTTATCAACAACAGCAAATACAAATGTTCGTATGAGTTCATAGGGATCGGACACATATTGTGGCGGTGTTCATATTGTCCATATGCCCAGAGACCCTAGTTGGGCAGGCGAATGCCTGCCTTTCAAAGGTGTTGTAGTGGTGAATAAAATTAACAATACAAATAGTTTATTTCGACAAAGGACTTGCAAGTATCTGATTGTCCGAAAAATATTTTTATTCATATCACGCGCAATTTTTCCAACACATACTAAGTATCATAAATTTAATTTTCTCTTTTTGTTGAGCTGTACATTTTTTGCAAAAGGAACGATTCTAGTATCTATGCATATTTATAGAAGATTAAATTGAAGTTGCCTATTTCTTTCAGTGGATTAATTTTCAATACATTGTGCTATTTTTTACTTTTATATGTTATTAAATGTAAATGACAGACGCTACATAATAATATTAAGAATAAATATCGTTGATCAGCACCAACAGCTACGTCGACAAATTTTATCGGTTATTTTTATTTAGCTTTTTGCTGACACAGTTTTTAATGCGATCTTTGTTTATCAAGACCTTTGGCACGCGTATAAATAAGATATATATATATACTAGCGGCAATACAAATTGACACTTTAATCACAATCAAGTCATAATTAAATCCATTGCGGCAATGAAAAAAAACAGTCACATGCCTAATGCAAAAAATCATTAAAAAAAATTAACCGGGACAGAGATATTCGCGAATCTTGACGAGCTTACAATTACTTATAAGTGTGTTCGACCTAGACTGCCGATTCCGAGTGTAGTGACGTTGCGAACGTTTGCAAAACAACTGACGGCACATTAACTTTGGCGGAACATCAACACTTCCGTGGCCGCTGCGGCTGCAGCCAGTTGAAATTGGCACTGGCTGGCACTGTCGGTCGCGAAGAAGTCGTGTGCGCAAAGCTTTTGCCGAACGCTGGCAAAAAGTTTCACTCAAATTTCGGGCCATCGCTCGCCTTGGTAGGTTGGCTGCGAGCACTGAGCTTCGGCTGTTCGGCTCCATTCGGCAGTTTCGCCCTCGCTGGTTTGTTTACCTTTTGGCGCATTCAACAAGTAGTTCTTCTAATGCTCAAACTTTGTGTTTATTTACCTTTGCAACTGAGTATCCCGCAATAAATAAATTTAGAACGTGCATGCCGTTTTTCAATCATAAGTATACAATTAGTCGCAATAACAGAAATGGACTAGTTAGTATTTGCTATTTTCATGTTGATCATTTTTTATTATACAAATACACGCAATGAGCTAACTATGCGATTACCTAAAATTTGGCCAAGTATTTGATGTAAAGTATGTTAAACCTAACAAAATATGTACTATGCATCACCTAGTCTTATGGGTCAGTTCTTATGAGAATTAGCATATTGTTAATTTAGACTGTGCTCGGATGCTGGTGCAGCCGTGTTTGAAAAACAAAATGCACAGTCGAATTAAGTCTTCTCAAAACGGTTAAATAATTAATTTTTGTCATCTCCATGTGTGTAATTACGGATGCAAGAGCTTTTAACTCCCTGCGACAAAGGAAAAAATAGGGGTTGGGTTCAGTGCGCCTTTTTGTGGGTAAGACTGTGTATGCCAGAAGCATGTTTGCAAATTTAAAGCATTTTCATCTTTGGCCAGAGTTCATAATTTTTGCGCCTTTCATTAAGACCTCTATAGCATGCGTGAGCTGCAAGCACATTGGTCCTTTTAATTGTTCCTACCAACAGCTGCTGAAGGGCGTTGCGGATCCAAAGCGCTGTTCGTGGGAGGAGGGAGGGGAAAAGCCGGATTCAAGCCAAAACTGATGCAGTGGCGTTATTTTAACATTAGGTGTATATAAAAAGTTATAAGCGCCCGCTCTGCTTCTTATCTTTGCCCATTGTTAAAAGCGTCGCCCACTTTTTGACTAGGCATCATTTTAAAGTGGGCGTGCATATATGCCCAGGGGCTTTGCGGAACCACATATCAACCAAAAACCCTTGTAATTGGGCCGTCCTATACCGCTTTACATTTTATTCACAAAGCATATAAAACCATCCACATGGCTGTTAATTGTACTTTCGGGCCAAGGAGTCAGCTTGCGGGCACAGTTGGTGTCCCCGACATTGTGGATTTTGTGCATATATAATTTGTAATTTTAAAACTTGTTGTTCACTGTATTTTGTTCTTGAATGTGACAGGTCACGGTTGCTAGAAAAATAATGAGCTCAAAGCTAAAGCACATCGCAATATGACAACCCTTTGAGTCGTGTTTTACTTTGTACCTCTAAAATTAGCAAGGCGGTGTAATTTAAGTGTGGAAATCTATTTCAGAAGAAAAGTATACCTAATTTGTGCCCCTATAAATCTCTATATTCAAAATTACTAATTTTTCCTTGAACTTGAACTGTCTTAACGCCTTAAGTTATATTTTATAAAGATATTTAAAATAGGTACAAAGTCATCAAAGAAAGCCTTAAAAGTTGGAATCTACGGTTTCCGCTTGTGATAAAACTGTAGTGAGGGCGAAAATACATTTTCGTTGACCAAACCATTGACTCGCTCTTTCCATTGAATACGGTGGAATTTTATTAAAAATCTTTGTGAACCAGCTCTGAAACTTCGCCTATATAACCTTTGACCTGCATTTATCATTCAAAATGGGTGATATTTTCGAGAAGCGTGTTCAGAGACTTTCGAATATTACTTTCAGGTCAATCGGAGGGTAAACAAAATTGTTTCACACAACCATTTAACCCATTATTTCAGACTAGCTTGTGGAATTTTCTATGCAAATGCGGTAAGTACAATGCAAATTTCAGCTTGCTAGCTCTTACTTTGGCCTGTTGTCAGTAATCAGTCAACGCAGCCTTAAATATCCATATTAAATAGTACTAATTCCATTGGATGAAAAACTGAAAACTAAATTTTAAAGCGATCAACTAGCCGGGCTAGCACAGTTATATAGCCATGTTCGACGGTCCGTCTGTATGGAAATTGTCATAGCTACTAACAACGCAGTTGAAATAAGGGTTCTCATTCTTAGATTAATATATCCCTTTGAGATTGTAACTAATTTGCAGCCTCGAAATAACCCACATGGTAGATTTAATATTTCATGTGCTTGACAGTCGGTAGTCTTCTCTGTTCATCTCGCTCCCTCGTCTTCCCCAAGCTGTCTACCTACTACTTGATACAGTGCGGTTGGTTGTTAGTTTTTGATATTATTTATATTTTCGGAGTAATTTATATTTAGGAAGAAATTCTGTAACTTGTAACATTAACAAATGTAGATAAGTAAGTAAGACACAATCTCATTAAGATCACTCCAATCGGCATATGTCTAGCTGCAGACTACAATTTAACCTCATAGTTATTAATACAATTTCATAGAATTATGGGAATAACAGTTTCATTTTGCTAAAAATACTTAATCAATTTTCCGTTTCCCTATTATGTTTGATCTAGGGCCTAACTATTAACGTAATGAATATTGCGTGCAAGGCTGATGACTTTAAATTGCTTGGACTCAGAAATATCAGAAATATCAGTTTTATCAGAATAAGCAATGAATGTGACAGAGTGAGCGCTATTTACTTTTGAAGTTCGTTAAAACCCACAGGCTTGCCTTAGCCTTTCTTGAAAAATGCAGACGAAATTTATATGGAGACCTCAGCTAAACTCTGTGCTGTCAATACCAAACACCGAACGTCAATATACTGAAACGCACGTCATAAAGTAAGTGGAGACATTGCGAGATAGACAGTCATACCAGTTGCCGATGAGCCAGCCAGTCAGTCAGTCCATCAATTGTTTCAACGTGAGTGGGAATAGTTGTTGTTTTTTGCTGATGGCATCATCAGCCCATCGGCAGTAACAAAAACAGCAAAAGCAGGGATAGAAATAGCATCAACGTCATCGTCATCATGCGCTGTGCTGGTCTTTCCTTCCTTTCTGTTACTGTTTCTGGCGCTCCACTGGCGGCGAATGCCGTAGTGCACCAAAAATCAACCAACTAACGATCAGCAGACGCGGCGGTAGCATCGGACCTACTGGTGTATAGAAGTGGCATGGTATCGGGTTCAAGCTCACAGTCACAGGCCGAAGTACGGGTACACAGAAATCCCATGAATAATTCCACTTCAATTCCACTTTGTATATTTCATTTTTGTGTTGCATACATCACGGCGGCAGCGTCAATGACAGACGACAGCAATTGGCTTTGATAACGTTTGCTCTTTTGCCTTTTTGTTGGGGTCGATTGGAATGCATTCCATTCCATTCCACAATTCGCTCAATACGCGCTATTTACTTATTAATCAACAATAATTCTCGGGCCTCGGCCATTTGGCGGTTTTGCTAAGCCAGTTGCCAGCTGGTACTTACTTATTTATTTTGTTGCGCTGTGCACTTAAATAAACTTGTGTGTCAAATTTTTATCAATTATTCAGTTAAAATGCTGCACAAATCTACTCCCCACATACGACCATTTGTAAATTGAATGATGGATTTATGAGCTTATAGCATTAAGTCCTTTGGTTTTTGACAGAATTAAAATAAAAGTAGAATTTTCATAGTATCCTGCAACTAAATATTTTGACATACTCTATATTTATAAGTATATCTGCGTTCATGAGCATGGACAATTAGTGCTTAGTGCACAAGCACATACTTGCTTCAAAAGAAAAATGCATGAATGAATTGTATATACAAGTAGTTGAGTAAATAAGCGCCCGACATATGTGTATAGAAATACCTCAACATATGCGTGTCTTCTAATACAGGTGGAGAGCTTTGTGTATCATACGAATGTCTACATACTAAATTTGGTGTCTCTTGCTTGAATTTTTGACATTCTTATATATCTCTATATATAAATCATTTTGTCCTGACTAACTGACTGACAGATTGGTGATCAACCCACAGCCCATACAGTAAGAGCTAGGAAACCGAAATTTTCACTGTGGTTACCTTATATGATGAAGGTTTCGGGAAATTCAACACGCAAATGTGTTAAAATCGCGAAAAAGTGCTTGTATTAAACTTTTTGTTTATTATCTGATGGGCTTCAAGCTCATTTTTAAAGATATTTGTTCAAATTCATTTGAGGGGTGTGTTACACATTTCGAAAAATCATTCCTCATTGGTGGAAATGGGGGTCAAAGATTTAGTGGGTGACGTTTCGCGCTTAAATTCATATCTAAGAATTTATATAAAAAATCATTTGAGACGTGTTTCACATTTTTGGCAAAAATCAAAGTTTTTTCGGAGAAAATGAGATTTTTTTATGGAGTTTTAAGTTTTGTCCGATTTGCGTCAAACTTATTTTCGAAGTTCCAAAACAGAAGAACAGAGTTAAATTGGCGAAAACGGTTTACGAATGTTTTTAGTTTACCTCCCGATCAGTATCAATAGCATGTTCAAAGCTGTTTGAGAACATTTACCTTATAGCTACGAGCAAGGGTGGGTTATACCCGCTAGTTTAATATAAACTACTCAAGTAAACGATTATTGAAACAAATCTGAGCGGACAATAGGCAATAAGTTAAATTTCAAGTCCCTGGATCTCCGGGATCATTTTTTCTACATACAGACAGATTAACAGACAAAATAAAATATATATATTATAAGCCAATATACCCATTTTTAGTTGTTTTCAAAGGCTTCAGGGTGTAATAAAAACATAACAAAAAATCCTTCCGTTTCTGAATTGCACAAATGTGAGTGTGTATCTACGAGCATGCATATAGTTAAGTCAACCGTAATGGCGAGCGATTGGCGAGCTGTCAGGTGTACAGGAAGTCCCGAAAAAAGACTTTAAGAGTTAGCTTATGGCAAATGTATCAATTTCCATTGTTGGCGGATACACAGGATGAGCG